TGAGCCCTTCTTGGCCAAACCTTCGTTGGCCTTGTTGTCTGTCTGTGCAAGAACCTCAACTGTCATGATGCGCCTCTGTGCATTGCCCTCCAAGTGCCCAAACGCATGGAGTGCTGCAAGTGTGGCCAGGAGCTCCGCGGACGCGGACGCCCACTGACTGTGGCCCTCCGGGTCGAACAAGTAAGGTGCCTCGTCTGGGGTGAGCCTAATCGAAAACCACCTAGAGTCCTTAGTGGCGCCCGAGCATTCCCATCCGCCTAGGACGACGTAACCGTCGGCGCATTTGGCATCAGTGCGGAAGGCAACTCCTTCCCGCCTGATAGTTCTAGCCGCAGCCACCTTGAAAGACATGTCCTTGAACGTCAAAGACAAGTACTCTAGGGTGAGGATTACGGTATCCGGCAAGCGAGCCACCGCGCTGACACTAACGGCAGCTCGCCAGCTGTAGAGTGGGGCTAAGTGTGCTTTTAGCCAAACCAACAGCCTAGATACGAACCCCAATCTGCCTAAGAACTCTGCGAAGCGACGAACTGAAACGACGAACCTAGAGGCCCTGGCTTCCTCGATCCACTTGAGCAGCCACTGCCCTCGAGACTCCGAGATCCCGACCCTCTGATCAGGATAGGACAGCTCGTACCCCACAAATGCCGAAGTGAGCCCTCCACGAAACTTCTTGTAAGCAAAAGGGGTACCGAACATCTCAAAACACGCAAGCCACATGAGCAAGTGATGGAACTTGTCCCTCCCTGCGAAGTTGGCATGCACATCGTCTACGTATACCAAATGGTAAAACCAAATGGTCAGTAGGAAGCGGGCTGCACACCTGCCGATGATACCGAACAACCGTGACCAAAGGAACGCTGAGGACGATATGCCGAAGGTCCCTACCTTGTTGTATCATATTACAGGCGAGTCATCCCTGAGACGACAACAGAGGAGCGGCCAGTCGCTTTCCCTCACCAAGAAAAGGCGGTGAGCGGCGGTGACGTCGCCCGTGAGGCAAAACGTCGCTTCCTGACTCTGCTTGGCACTACGAACGAGGTGCACAACTTCACGTGGGCCTGGGTTGGCCTGTTGGTTGAGCATGCGAATGCCATTGTTTACACGAACGCCGTGCGTTCCGTCGTGCAGCGGTCTCGCGGACCCGTCTGGCTTCAAGAGGGAACCTAAGGAAGCAATCCTAACCCGATCCTTGCCGTACCTTTGCTCAAGCACGGGAAGAGTCGACGGCGCCATGCGTCCCAACGCCTCCTCTTCTTTGAACTTCTGCTCCAGCTGTTCTATGGTCTGCTTAGCCGAGGAGTAATTGTCACGGTGCCATTCGTCCTCGGAATCATCTAGTTTACGGGACTTAACCTTAAACTCGTAGACTTGAGGTAAGTGAGGGACAGGCTCATCAAACCCGATGGCAACCCCGGTGACGTAAGAGTCCTTCTGGCACGCGATCGCTTCCCAATCTGGGTCTTCAAGGAGCCGAGCCGTGGAGGAGATCGCATGCAAGTAGAATGGCTGGTTAGGTGGGATCTCCCGCAGCTCCGAAGATCGAACCCCGAGTGAAGCCTCAACGCAACCAAACCATTCTTAGACCCTCAAGAACCTCGGGCGGAAAGGGGGACGACTTGAGCCTCCCCAAAGCTAGCTCCATGGCCGTACGCCTGACATCCGGAATGTGACGATCTATGAAGTCCCGGAGCACTCGATGCATAGCCTTAGCGAAGCCTGCAGCCCTAGCCGGAAGTCTCGAGCCCCGAGCAGCGGGAGGCCACCGTGTGGGTGAACACAGCCCGAAACCATCGTTGATGGGCTCCACCTTTCCGTCCCATTCACTGGTAGACCCGCTGTAGGAGTCAGCGGATGCCTCAGCATCCTCAGCGGGCGCTTTGAAGCTCGAACACGCCTCGTGGGAAGCCTCGCCCGGAAGAACGAAGCCCTGACCCCGCAGCGTGGACAAAACATCCTGCGGCGCTTGCTCATGATCTGCAACGCTGAAGGCTATGATCACCAAACGCCTACCAGTCCAAGGCATCGTGAAGTGTAAGTCCCGATAAGCGTGGATGTAAGCAGGTTCCGCCGTGATCGGAACGAGTCGACCTGCAAGGCGCTTGCCATCGACGACCTGAAAGGAATCTCCCCCTTCACATTCTGTCCAGACCTCGCCCCCAGAGAAATCCGAGAGAGCAATGATGCCGTTGGGAATGTGAGCGTTGCGGCTATCCCTATGAGGCTCTGTACCAGTGTTGAGATACAAGCTAACAGTGGTGAAGGGATGGCCGGGCATATGTTGGCGTACGAAGGATGTTTGGCTTCGTCATCAGTAAGGTCCTC